CTCATTAGTTGAAAAAATACTAAAAACATTGTTTACCAAAGGTAAATGTTTTTCTGTTTTTTAAAAAAATATATTAGCTTTTGTTGTTTGTTTGTTTTTGCAACAGAGTCTCACTTTGTTAGCCTGGGTAGAGTGCTGTGGTATCATAGCTCACAGCAACCTCAAACTCTTGGGCACAAACAGTCCTCTTGCCTCAGCCTCCCAAGTAGCTGGAACTACAGGTGCCCATCACAACAGCTGGCTAATTTTTAGAGACAGAGGTCTTACTCTTAGTTAGGCTGGTCTCAAATTCCTGAACTCAAGCTATCTTCCTGCCTCAGCCTCCCAGGATGCTAGGATTATAGATATGAGCCACTGCACCCAGTTGGGACTCATTTATTCATTGGAGAAATATTTGTTGAGCACCTACTGTCTTCCAGGTACTATTCTTAATCCTGGGATTACAGGGATGAACCAAAACAAAGCTCTACTGGAGCTTACTCTGTAGTGAGGATGAATATGAAAAGCAAATAAACATCTAACACACGAGGTGGTGGTAAGTGCTGTGAAAAATATTAAGAGAGTTGGGAGATAGAGAATGATGAGAGATCTAATTTACACAGAGTAGTCAGTGAAGACCATTTTGATAATTTGACAGTGTAATGATTTTTAATAAGTATTGATCTTTCATAAGTAATTACCATAGGAAATAATTATCATGAGAGCTGAAAAATTTGCAGGGGTGGAGGGGACAATTTCATATTGTTTAGCAAAAGTTGATGGAACACAAGAAAAAGTGTTATTTAAGTAAATGCTGAATTTTGTGTCATAAAGGCATCAATGGTTAAGCATACTATATATTTTTCATAAAGAAAATACCAGAAATAGAACTCCTCAAGAAAAGACAAATTAATAGATAAAAACAGCAAGAGATCTAAACAGCTATTTCATAGAGGATATCCAAATGACCAATAAACATGAACACTTACTCAGCCACACTGATACTGGAGAAACTGTAAGGGAAAACCAAATGGGATACCACTGTATTCTCATCAGAATGACTAAAGTTAGGAAGACAGTATGTATCAGTGTTAGCTGGATGTGGTGTCTCAGGAATTCTCATATGCTGCTTATAGGAGTGTAAATTGGTAATAACAATCGCAGATGAACACATGTATATCTTATGACCTAGCAGTTTTATTTCCAGATACACACACACAACTGTAATGCATATACATATGCACCAAACAACATGTGCCAAGTATGTTTATAGAAGCACTATTGCAAAAGTCTAAAATTAGAAACAACTCAAGTCCGTTAGCACTAGAATGGATTTTGATGGTCATATATTAGTATAAAGGGATTCTGTATAGCCATAAAACCCAACCATCAGCTGCTACAGACAGTAACAGATTAACAGATTATTTTCAAAGCATTGCTGAACAGAAGGGGGCATTTATATGAAGTTCAAAAGCAGATAAAACTATATGCTAAGAATATTAGCATATATTACCTTTTTTGTTGTTTCTTTTTTTTTTTTTTTTTAGTTTGGGACATGTTATTTTGATAGGGTCTTTCTCTGTCGCCGAGGCTGGAGTATAGTGGTTGAGATCATAGCTTAGTGTGCAACCTTTGAGGTCTCCAGTGATCCTCCTGCCTTAGCCTCCTGAGTAGCTAGGACTACAGGGGCATGTGACTATGCCTGGCTAATTTTTTATAAAAACAGAGTCTTAGCAAGACTCCTGGCCTCAAGCAATCCTCTCATCTCTGTCCCCCCAAACTACTGGGATTATAGGCATGAGACACTGTGCCAGGCATGATGAAGGCTTCTTCCGTGCTGGTAATTGTTCTGTTTCTGAACTTGGGTTGGAGATTACATTGTGATAATTTACTGAAATCTCCTTGTTGTTTATACACTTCCTTGTTGTATGCCAGATTTTTTTTTTAATATTTCTTAAAGGTACAGGCTGTAGTTGCTATCCATCTGGAAAATAGGTTTTTAAAAATTTCCAAAACATGACAAAGTTAATATTTATAATATACAAAAAGCTTCTACTTGGTGATTAGGAAAAGACAAATATCCCACAAGAAAAACAGGCAAGTAATGTAAGTAGGTGGCTCAGAAAACTAGAAGTCAAAATGGCCAATAAGCCTATGAAAATATGCTCAGTAGTCCTCTGGAGTTAAAAGAATTCACTGTTAACTGCTGGGACCATGAAAATAAATGAGAAAGATATGCTTACTTTATTTTTGATTGAATTTGATTGAATTTTAGGAAAGTATTTAATGTATATATATTCAACTTAGCAATTCCACTCTTGGGAATAAATTCCATAGACATAAAAGCTCCACAGAAATATTGATCTCAACATTATTTTAATTGCAAAAAACTCCAATGCCCAAAGAGATAGTTTAATAAATTGTGTTTTATAATATTGAAATACCATACAACTGTTAAAAAGATTAGTTTGTATTTCCATGTATGTATAAAATTAGATAAGGAAAGCAAAATGCCAAAACAATGAATACAATATGATCTGTCTTAATAACAAAACTCCTGTATCATGTGTATATGTGTTTGTGTGTAATTTTATAAACATGGAGAGAGTTGTGACAGGCTGTACGCCCAGCTGTCAGTATTGAATACTGGGAGAATAGGGGAGGAGGATTGAAAAAATAAAGGTTGCTGGGCATGGTGGCTCATGCCTTTAATCCTAGCACTCTGGGAGACCAAGGTGGGTGGATTGCTTGAGTCCAGGTGTTTGAGACCAGCCCGAGCAAGAGTGAGACCCCTGGGTGGCCCCTGTGGCTCGAAGGAGTAGGGCGCTGGCCCCATGTACCGGAGTTGGCAAGTTCAGACCCAGCCCTGGCCAGAAAAAACTGCAGAAAAAAAACGAAAAAAAGAGTGAGACCCCTGTCTCTACTAAAAGTAGAAAAACTGAGGCAAGAGGATCACTTGAGCCCAAGACTTGGAGGTTGCTGTGAGCTTAAAAAAAGAAAAAAAAAGAAATGTATCAGTGAAAAAGGCATATGATCCGAGTCTAATTATGTAGAAGGGTTTTTTTGTATATATGTGCATATGCCTGTAATGCATATAATCGAATCTATGATGGTGATAGTGGTGGATAAATGTTATCTGGTCTTTGCCAACTCAAGATCCTAGTATCCCTTTAAAATCAGGGAGCCTATTTCATGGCTCATCTCCCATTTGCATCTACTACATTAAAAAGGTATGTATTCAATAAAAGTCTCAGTATCCCAGCAAAAAGGTTCTTTAGCCCCTCTTAACATTAACAGTTAACGTGCTTTAACATTCACATCTCCTTTAGTGTTTAGATATCTTCTTAAAGGGAATTATGTTGAGAAATGTCTGACATCTCAGGGGGCTTTAAAAGTTCAGGCTTCAGCCAACCAAACAACAAAACAATTAAAATCCCTTCTAGCTATTAGAACTACTACATACAATACCCAGAATCTCTGTTAAGTCACATTGATTGATTGACTCCAACTCACAATTTTATATAAAATGATATTTATTCAAATTTATCCTTTTATATTATTAGTTATCCTTACCTCTGTCAGAGTGTAAGTTTAAAACTACTTTTTTTTTTTTTTTGACAGAGTCTTACTCTGTTGCCCCAAACTAGAGTGCTGTTATGTCTTGGCTCACAGCAACCTCAAACTCTTGGGCTCAAGGGATCCTCTTGCCTCAGCCTCCGCAGTAGCTGAGACTATAGGCACCCACCACAATGCCTGGCTAGTTTTTTCTATTTTTAGTAGAGACAGGGATCGCTCTTGCCTAGGCTGGTCCCTGAACTCTTGAGCTCAAGCAATCTACCCACCTCAGCTTTTCAGAGTGCTGGGATTACAGGCGTGAGTCACCATGCCTGGGCCAGTTTAAAACTTGTAAAAGCAAGATCTGTTCGTGACTCATCTATCTCTGCAGTGCCTTGTACATATAAATACTTGGTAAATGCTCCCGTGAATGAAGAGAGCAATGGCAAGACCCTCCTGACAGCGTTTCATTCTGTGGGTCTGTACCATGCATTGCAGGACATTTGCTGTCTCTGGCTCCTGCCCTCAGTGCCTCTAGCACGCTCTGCTCATTCTAACAACTAAAATCTATATACTTCTCCCCACCCCCAATTTCCAGAAGCCTTTGGGGCAGTGTGGGTTGGGGCTCCCCTCCTTGAGAACCCCAGGGCTAGAGTAACTGAAGGGTGGTAGTGCCTGAGCTCCAAGTTGAAGGAAGAGTAAGATTTTAAAACCAGAGAAACTGGAGTACAAACAGTGTTAATGAAAGAGGGAGCAAGGGAATGCGTAGCCCATCTTGGCTGGTGAAGTGGTTTGTGTAAAGTTGGAAAATAAAGTTGGATAAATAGAGTGAAGTTAGAAGGATGTGAAGGGTCAACAGGAGGTAAAAAGAGGGGAAAAGTGTCCTCACTCTCGATGCATCCCGCATGCTGCTGCCAAATTAATTTTCTAAAACATTGTCCTGTTCAGCAGTCCACTTAATAAGGCCGTTGCTGTGTATTCAAGGCATTTTATCTCATCATATTCATTGAACATTATCTCTTCCTACTCCTCAAAATTGGTTAGGTAAGGCTGGCTGGTTGCTCAAACCAATATTTCCCCCTCCTTCTTTATCAGTATGTTCACTTCATACTTTTGTTGATATCTTTCTTACTTTATATAAATCTGTCATCATTGTGCCTAAACAACTTCTTACTTTTTAAAAAAAATTTTTTTTTTAACTTCTTTTCTTAGAAACCTTCCCTCTAGTGAAACTGGCCCATGCCACTCCACCCCATCCTGATATCTCTTTTCTCTTATTGTTTTTATAGTTTTTATGGATTTTCCCATATAATTTAGCACGAAAGTATACAGAACTTTTCACATGTCTCATTCTTTTTTTGGGGGGGGAGGCAGTTTTTGGCTGGGGCCAGGTTTGAACCCGCCACCTCTGGTATATGGGGCTGGCGCCACCCCACATGGCTCATTCTTGTTTTTCTGAATAATTTGTATTCTCCAGAAGAGCTGTATGAAGTTAAGATCTATGCCTCATAACATTTTTGTAAACCACCAAAGCAACTCTTTTTGTCGTTTGTTTTTTATTGATTTATTTTGGTCAGTCAATGTAGGCGTTTCCTTTCGTGTGATATCACTTAACGTAGGAGTAGATATCGAACATCCTGAAAACTCAAATCCTGCATTTGCAGATCACAAAAGTTTAATATTTCAGTATTATCATGTTTCTTCACATTGAATGTTTTTCTTTTCTTCAATAACTAGATTTAATTATTTGGGGGATTAATTATCTGTGTGTCCCTCACAATGCCTAGTAGAGCGGATTGCTTGCAGTACTACGTATTTTAAAACCTGATCGATTTTTTTCAATGGTTTATCAATTAGCCTTACTTTAACCATATTCACACCGTTGTTTTATCTTGCTAACAGCAGAGTACAGTAAGGTATGGGTACACTCAGTAGTCCAGTCCCAGTCTTTGGTAGCTTCCTTAAGCCACACTTTCCTTTTCCTAAGTAGTGTCATGGAAATTTGGATGTTGTACTCATTGGAAGCAGCCTAATTCTAATTATGGAGCAATATTGGCTTCAGGTTCTATGAAAAAGAGTAAGTACTGTCATATTTTGATCCCTTGTAGTTTTCAAAGTTTTCCCTTTTAATCTTCTCATTACCTTTCTTCAAATGAAATCTTACCCAGGCACTTATGTATTACTTAGACACACGCCTTTTCTGAAGGGAGAAGGTGGAGTAAAAGATGACAGTCTGGAGCCCCACCTTCACCCCTCCTTCCTCCTCATTCCCCAACCAGAGGGCACAGCTTGAATATCACTAGAACTCACCTAGTTTAAAAAATCCTTTTGTAAAAGCTTGTTTTATAATACCTCATTTAGGAACTTTGTTTAAAAATAGAAGCATTTTAGTTTACAAGTGGATTTTAAGTACAAAGGAAAATGCTGTGGAATACGTTTCTCATTTCAGCAATAAAAGAGTTAATGTACTAAGCAGCAGAGACTGAGATACCGCTATGGGATAGTGCTTTCTGTCTCTGTCATTTGTGGCTTAAGAAAAGGGGGTGGTGTTCTGCATTTGAAAGGACTTTAATGAATGCTGTCAGTGTTTGTGAGACCTAATGGTCAGTGGGAAAGGGGAGCAGGGAGAGTGGTCTGGCTGCTTCAGGATAGGCGGAGGAGAGTTTGCTCTGATTGAACGGAATGTTCCACCGTGTTTCATCTTAATTCATTATCCTTTGTTCTTTAAAATCTGATATATTGGCATAAAACTAAATGCAGAGATATATACGTAAGAATGTGATTTATTTTCCTTTAAATCTTTTTGTTGTGCACAGCAGGGCATATACTTCTCTTGTCTTGGTTGGATGCACAAATCTGTGTGCAGTGCTTTTTGCCCGTTGCCTAGACGATCACTTGGTTTCTCTGAGGATGTCTGGTTCTCGTAAAGAGTTTGATGTGAAACAGATTTTGAAAATCAGATGGAGGTGGTTTGGCCATCAAGCATCATCTCCTAATTCTACAGTTGACAGCCAGCAGGGAGAATTTTGGAATCGAGGACAGACTGGAGCAAACGGTGGGAGAAAGTTTTTAGATCCATGTAGCCTACAATTGCCATTGGCTTCAATTGGTTACCGAAGGTCCAGCCAACTGGATTTTCAGAGTTCACCTTCTTGGCCAATGGCATCCACCTCTGAAGTCCCTGCATTTGAGTTTACAGCAGAAGATTGTGGCGGTGCACACTGGCTGGATAGACCAGAAGTGGATGATGGCACTAGTGAAGAAGAAAATGAATCTGATTCCAGTTCATGCAGGTGGATTATTTTCTTACTGTTAGAAAAGGGGTGTGGGGTATATTCTCTATAATGTTTTAAAATAGTTTAATATTATTTAAAATCTATGATTATATAGGTACATTTACATATATACATGTATAATATCTTGGTATGAACATGGGATACTTTTGCGAGGATTTTTTTAAAATGTTCTAATATTCTGTAAAAATCAAGGACAACAAACAGCCTTCATATCTTGTGTTCCATATATAGATCTGGCTCTGCTTTGAAAATAATATATAATGGCAATCTTATGCACCATTGCCTTGCAGATTCCTTCATTCATTTACCTTCTATATTCAGAGCCAAACTATAGGAGGCATTTCTATAGTATAAAATTTTAGGTAACATTTTAGTTTACAACAGATTATAGAGTCATTTTTTTAAATTAAGGAAAATGAAAGATTTTACCAAAAGATGCATATTATAGTTGTCAATTTTTTGACACCGTTACAGTTGTCAATATTTTTCTTATGGTTATTTCTCTTTGTCCTGTCTGTGTTATAGCTCTTCAGACTAATCCAGAGAATACTAAGTAACATGTCTCTTTCTAAGATGACAGCTACTAATTCCTGTTATCTTCACTTTCACTGAAATTTGTGCTATTTAGGGAAATGAAAGATATTCTGAATTTCAGGAGGGCTTAAGGGAATGTTGAGGGGCTAGATGTGGTCAGCTGGTGGAAAGAGGGCAAGAAGAAGGGGAAATGAGTTAGAAGAAGGAAAATAGAATCATTATGAATTACCATTTTTTCTTTATTAATCTTTATCCTTGGAATCTAGCTTGGTCTTTGAAATGAATTTTCTTATTAATCAGTTTAAACTACAGTAACATATTATGTAACAAGTTAGAACATGAAAGTCATCTTTCTGATTCGTCTTCATTTGCAAATACTTCTAAATGTTTAAAGGCACCAATAGCTTATCATCTGTCAAGTTTGATTGCTGTATTCTTTTTCTTTTAAAATTTCTGTGCAGGTTTTGACAACACTTGTAGTTTGTAAGTTGGTTATTAAGGATATAGGCATCATACAGATTGGGACAGAATGAATTCTTAACGTTCGGGTATCTCTTACTTGAGGACATTTACCCCTTTCTCCTCTTATAACCTTCAGAACATGGAATTCTGAATTGTGGTATTGGAATGACAAAAAATATAGGCCAGTCATCTGTAATCATTTCCGTAATGGACAGAGGGGGTATCTGTCCATTACCGTAGGTAAATGGTGTATTTAATTGAAATTTTTTAATTATTTCATGACTTACTATTACCTTAAGGGAATAGGAGCTACAAGTAACTTTAATATGAAGAACAATTGAGCTAATGTGGTTTCATTGTTTTGTATTTTCTTTGGAGACTTGTTGCCATGAAGAAAATAATTTATATAGTAGAAGGTTTGTAGTTTATCATTATTGTGGAAACCAAAAAGTAAATATCATGCCATTTAAAAATCAATACAATATATTAAGAATATTTTTAAAAAATTAGAATAAGCAAAACATTTATCAACATAAGTAAACTAACATATAAAACTCATAACTCGTATCAACTATTTGGAGAGATTATAATGTGAGTTAAAAATTTTGATACAGGTATAATCTAGAAAAGATCATACACGTTGGTCACTGTAATTTTTACCTCCTTACAACAAAGGTAGTTTGCATATGGAATGATTACTGAAATAAAATTAATCCATTCTTTAGCAAGCATACTAAAATATCTTGGTGGACTATTCATCATAAAAGGAAAAGATTATCTTTTTTCGACTGAGAGATTGCTATGTGCATTCTTCAAGAATATAAAATTAATTTTTTTTATTTATAGAAGATAAAAGACAAAAATTTTCCAAATCTAAAATAAATATAGCTTTATATGCTAATCAAGAAATCTCATCAAAGTAAGATGGGAGTTGACAGCTTATGTCTTCAATGACTAGACTATTTCTAAAATATTGTATGTATTATTAAAAGTCTGATTTTATAGATATGAGGTGGAGTATATCAAAGCAATGTAATGTCCCTGGTGGCTTGAAATTTTAATCTAAACATCTTATACAAAAAAGGAAAAAATCAAACATTATAGATTTTACAAATGTCCTTTGTATGTATATTTTTACTTCTCCATTTTTTTCTAGATTAAATATATCTAATTCTTACATCTTCCTTCAATCCTCTGAGTCTTTGACCTTTATCATCAGGATACATTTATTTGCTCTCAGCTTTTTGATTAAGTGAGCAGTCAGACTTCTCTGAGTGGTTGCCCTTCTACCGTAAACAAATCAAAGCCTATCACCATTAATGTCAAGAAAAGTTACACTGACATTTGTCAAAATTTTGTATGTAACTTGGGAACAATTCTTCTTATATACTATTTGCAAATAATGAAATAGATAGGAAATATTTTGAGCATACTATAGATTGACATTTTAAAATATTAAAGATATAATAGGAAAATACACATAATATGGGGCTTTTCCAGATACAAGCTCATCAGAAGACAGGAAAGTGATCATAGCTCACACTGGGTACTTCCTAGACACTGTTCTAAGCACTTTCTGTATTAACTCATTTAGTCTTCACAACAAATTTTTGATTTAGGTTGCTACTAGTATTAATCTGACCTAATTATAATTTTATAGATGGGGAAAATGAGCCCCATAAAGACTGAATAACTTGCTCAAGTTAGTAAGTAAAACAGCTGCATTTCTAAAGAGAAACTATGTTTTTTAGAACAATTTTAGATTTACAGAAAAATCTCAAAGATAGAGTGAGTTGATGTATACCCCACACCGTTTCCCCTGTTACTATATCTTATATCAGTGTGGTATACTGATCGCTATTAGTGAACCACTGTTGATACATTATTGGTAACTAAAGTTCATACTTTATTCAGATTGCCTTAGTATTCTACCTAATGTCCTTTTTCTATTCTAGGATTCTATCCAAGATATCACTATGTTAAGTCATCATGTCTCATTAGGCCCCTCTTGGCTATGACAGTTTCTCAGACTTTCATGGTTTTCAGTGACCTTGGCAGTTTAGGGAATATGGGTCAGGTGTTTTATAGAATGTCTTACTCAATTGTGATTTTTTTTTCCTGATGTTTTCCTCACAATTAGACTGAGGTTATGGGTTTGGGGGGAGGAATACCACAAAGATAAAGTGACATTTTCATCACATCATTTCAAAGGCACATTCTGTTAACCTGACTTAGGATCAATGTTGACATTGACCTTGATTACTTGGAAATAGCTGCATTTTGAACCCAAACAATTCAGATGTAAGTTTCATGCTCTTAAGAGGACATTGTTCTGTACTGCCTACGGGAGTAGACAGTTCTATGTGACTATACATTTAATCACAGAGTTCAACCAGATTAACATAAAGCTAATAACTCATTCTAACTAGTTTCACCTTCTTTCTCCAGTTAATTCTCTTTTCTTGGTTCTGGAGAATGCTAACCCTAGCTGGGGTGCAAGTATGATTTCTTGACCCAGCCACAACTGCTTATCCACAATCTTCTGACCCATCTTACTGGTTGCTTGATATTCTGTGTTTCAACTGCAGACATCCTGAACTCTTTTTTTTTTTTTGCAGTTTTTGGCCAGGGCTGGGTTCAAACCCAACACCTCTGGCATATGTGGCTGGTGCCCTACTCCTTTGAGCCACAGGCACCACCCCATCCTGAACTCTTTTATTCCTGGGTCAGTTCATTGGCTACTCTTCAGCTCGTCCTGAAGGCAAAAGTCCTCCTCCTCTCCCAGCAAGGGGTCATCTTCTTAATAACATCTTTCCTAAAAGGCAGTCTCTTTTTTCTTGGCCTTCTTTATTTTGTCTCTGGATCTCATTGTTTGATCCAGTCTATTGATTCTGGTTCCGTTTTAAATTAAAATCTTCTGCTTTCCACACTTTTTTTTCTTTTTTTTTTTTTTTGAGACAGAGTCTTACTATGTCATCCTTGTTAGAGCTAGAGCCCTGTGGTATCACAGCTCACAGCAACCTCAAATTCTTGGACTTAAGCGATTCTCTTGCCTCAGCCTCCCAACTAACTGGGACTACAGGTGACTGCCACAACCTCAACACCTGCCTATTGTTTTGTTGCAGTTGTCATTGTTGTTTAACTGGCCTGGGCTGGGTTCAAACCCACCAGCCTTGGTGTATATGGCTGGTGCCATAACCACTGTGCTATGGATGCTGAGCCCATTTCCACACTTTAAAAAAAATGTTTTTGAAGGTAGCACAGAAGTTCACCTATAATGTGTTTGTCTCTGGAAAGGGTATATTGTACTGTTCCTCTTCACACACACATGCCCACATCATATCACTGACTTCCTTAAGAATCTAACATAAGCTATGTAACCTCTCTGCAGAAAACACCGTGTGTATGTGTGTTTATGTGTGCGTGTATTAAATATCTCATATACAGTCAAGTTCAGGAACTCTCTGAAGCCTGTCTGTATGCTACATCAATCACAGTTCTTAGTTTTAAGCAAATGAAATTAACTGGATGCTTTAAATAGAATAGGAATTTATTGAAATCATATTTAGTTCCCAGAACTGCTGGGAAGGGTGAAGAATCAGCTTATGAGAAGATAGATGAGGCACTACAGTTGCACAGTTGGCCTTTTAAATTCCAAATTTTTAAAGCAGAATAACCTGTCTTTATGCCACCTACTGCTCATATTTTATTTTACTCGTTTTCTACTCGGAATTCAATAACGAGATTTTAAGTTTTTAGAATCAGATGTATTAGGCATGAAAACAATGGCTCATGCATACACCATATAGACATATAACTACAGTAGAACCACCATAAGTTGACCAACCAAGGGACTGTTAACAATCTGGGGAACATAGAAAGGTGATCAACACAAGGGCCTAGGCCTACTGTATATGTACACATAGTACATGTCTGGTCTGAAAATTAGGTCAACTTGGGTGGTGCCTGTGGCTCAATGCAGAGGGCACCAGCCCCATATA